CTGTTGGAAAGGATGAGGACGAAGGAGGGGTATTTGGATAGGGGGGTGGGGTATGAGTGGAAATCTTATATATGGGGTGGATGGCTTGATCTCAGCCGTTAGATCAATGGAGATCAACGGCCTGGATCTGGAAGTTTAAATGAAACGGTGTCGTTTAGCTTACTAAGGGTCACGGTTGGTTCGGGTAGAACGGGTCGGATCTGTTCGCGGGTACGGGGTATGTGATCTTGGCCGTTGATCATTCTGAGATCAATGGCCCAGATCAAGCACGACCCAAACGACGTCGTTTGGGATACTCCTGGGGCCGAACTGGGCTAGACCGGATAATTTAGTTTGGGCTTGTCTTATTGGACTGGCCCAATCCGAAATCCCTTTTCCTCTTTAAACCCTTAATTAAATTAAACAACACTAATAAAAACATTAAACAAACAATTAATCACACAATTAAAAAATAAAAAAATAAAAAAATAACATCACTTTATATTTTTACACACGACACATATATTTTGTTTTGATAAAAATACAAAAGGGGAAGACCACAAATAAATACCGAAAATGCCACGTAAAATCCGAAAAATTGTGCAGCAAGACCAAACTACTATTATTTTGTTTCTTTTGGAGTGATTGTCGCGAAAACAAAAATCACGTGCTCACACCTGCAACCCAAAATCATGCAATAACTCCAAATCCTCCGTTTAACCACCCGAATTCACCCCGAGGCCCCCGGGACCTCAACCAAAAGCACAGACATGATCTTTTACCTCATTCAAACTTGATCGAACCATCAAAACACTATCATTAACATCAAAATCCCTTAATTTCCCCAAATCAAAGCCTAAGTTTATTAAAAACTTCCGAATTGCACATTCGATCAAAAACCTGACCTAAACATCTCCGAATGACCTGAAACTTTGCACACATATCCAAAATCACCTATCGAGGCTACTGCAACTCTCAGAATTCCATTCCGACCCTCAGATCAAAATCTCGCATACCAACCGGATTTCGCCAAAATCCTAACTTCGCCAAACTAGGCTAACTTCTACACTGAGCCCCCAAATTCACTTCTGATTGCTCTCCTAAGACTTAAATCATCCCCCGAAACTAGTCGAATCATCAGAAATCCATTATGAGCCCTCTAACACACAAGTCACCGTCCGGTTGACCTTTCCAAACCAAGCCTTCTTCAAAGAGACTATTTGTCTCATTTCTATCTAAAACCAATCCAATTCTACCCGATCACCTCAACTACTGATAATGAAGCACAGAGGAACATAATAGGAGGGAAACGGGGCGGTAACTCACATAACGACGGGCCGGGTCGTCACATTTTATCCACGTTGTTCTAGATTTTTGTCTTAAAACTTGTTCGTTTATTTCTTCCCATTTCTCTGCCTGCACTATCATTTCCTTTTCCTGTTCAATTAGTTGTTGATTCAGATGATCATTATCAATCTGTCTTTTGATATTCTGTAACTCCATTCTGATTTTTCCAATCTTTTTTTCTAATGAGTTCATTTCTTTGTTCATCAACCTTGCTATATCTTGTATTCTTTGCAGTTTGGTCCATATGAAATGCATAGTATGCCCTTCAATTCTTTGGTTCCATATCTCTTGCACACTCTCTTGAAATTCCTTTGGTGTAACAGTACATGATACAACCTAAAAGGTTATTTCAAGTGACTTCTTACCACCTCAGTATTTATCTCAATGTGAGAGTGATCAGAAATACCTGGTACCTCATACACTGCTTCTAAGCTGCTATATTTAGTAAACCAAGATGCATTCCCAAACACCTAGTCAATGTTACTATATATTCTTTCTCCAGTATCTTTTTTTGTTGCACTACGACCACTGACGCCCTTTTCTATTCAATTGCCCCACTCCAATATCCTTTATACAATTTTGAAAGTCTACTATCTCAGTTTGATGAATAGGTTGACCATTTATTCTATCATTGACAGATAGAACACTATTAAAGTCTCCTATCGCCAACCAAGACTCCTGCATTGTTCTATAAATCATCCTTAGTTGTTCATACAGCTTCTTCCTTTCATGTAACTTGTTCTTACCATACACAAAAGTAATACAACATTCAAATTGGGACCTCATATCCTTCACTTGACAATGAATCACTTGAGTAGTGACCATCAGGATGTTGACTTGCACCATAATGTCTTTCCAGAATACCCATAGTATACCAATAGGATTTATCTTCTCATCTGAAAATATCTGCAGTCATTTCCAAATTTTCTTTTAATTTTACTAACACTCCTAGTCTTTATCTTTGTCTCAAGGCAGCCTAGTAGAGTAATTTTATTTTTCAGCAGATAGGCCTTGAGTTCTCTCTGCTTATAGGGCTTATTCAGCCCTATTATATTCCAGGCACTTATTATCATGGGGGATTTTCCTCGTTGAGGTCAATCCCTTCAGTCATTCTTTCAATGCTGCTAGCTTATTGTATTCTCAATGTACTGTATTTGTTGGTCATTAACAACTTTTCTATCTTACGTCCACTCAGTACTTTTTTGTTGTTTACCTTCATCGTTTGCTTTCCTTTAGACCTTTGCTGCTGATAATTCTCCTCTTGAGCTTCAATGTTCTGATTTTCTTTTTGCTTCTTCCCCTGATCATTCATCTCTTTATCCTGTGATATTGCTTTTTCCCGCACCTCTGCTGTTCCTCCTTGATCCACTTTAGCTTTTACTTTTCATTGCATCTTCTTTTGTTGCTTCATTCCATCTTGTCTATCCTGTTTCTCCTCTCTATATTTATGCTTGTCGATTGGGGATTTTTCACAATTGACTTCATGTTTGCCTATTTGGAAACAAACTTCACAAAAATCTGGTCTCCATTCATACTCTAATTCTTGTTCCCTATGTATACCCTCCGCCTCCTCAATTAACAGTACATTTGGCAATTCCTGTGATATTGCCATTTCAATCAACATCCTAGCATAAGAAATTCTTTCACCTTCTGCAGTTAACCTATCAGAGCATATAGGTTTCCCTATACAGCTTGCTATTCGCCCTAAATTTTCCTTTATCCAATACTCCACTGGTAGCCCTGGGAATATCACCCAAATTGGAATATTTCTTGTTTTCTCCTTATTGATTTGAAATTTAGGTTCATATTGCTTTAATATCATTGGTCGATTATTAAAGGTATATGGTCCTTTCTGTATAACTAGCTTCTTATCATCTTCTGATTCAAATTTGAAAACAAAATATTCATCATCATGAAGAAATACTTGTGGAGTTGCGACAAAACTCCACACACCATATACAAAGTTAAACATGTCTTTAAACGATGAATTTCCTCCCAATACATACCCAATTAGGGATGCCTGCCATTTCTGGGTTTTATCCTTGACTTCAATTTGATTCAGTCGAACCACCTTCACTCCTTCTTTGATAATTGGGGGATAATACTCCAATTGCATCCCCTGTCGTTGAGATATATTTCCTTTAACCACCTCCGCTAAGTTTATCTCTGTTCCCCTAGGATTTGGTCTCTGGCGTATAATCTCTTTTACTTTAGCGTTTGTACAAAATAGTTTAGTTCATAACTCCACTTTTTTTGTTTGTAAATACTTATAATGTTAAATTTCTTATAGTTATAAGATTTTTAAGTTGGTTAGATTTTTTTGTTGTTGTTAAAGTCAATAAATTTATAAATTTGTTAATATATATAGATAAAATTCTAAATATTGAAAGTAAATATTGTTTTATTAAAAAATCAACTTTGATTAAAAAGAGCTTCAATGGCTTTATTTTGAGGTCACATGATGAATAAAATTGAGTAGTGAGCAAATTTTATTTACCGGTGCCGCTTATATTAGTGGCTACCTCTTTGATTGAACCCGCTTGTATAAAATCCTGGTTCCGTCACTGATGAACTTCCAGCATACTATGTTGGAACTCTAGCACATTATGAAATTTCAGCATATTATGCTAGAATATTTTTTCTAGATTTTGAACAGTATTTTTGTTCAAATTTATCTTTACATGAAAGTGACTAAATTTTGATTACTTTTGAAATTGTAGTTGTTTTCAATTTACCACTTGTAAATCTGGCTATTTTTTAATTTCACCAAAAAAAAAAAAAGAAACTTGCCGAACTTTCAATATTTTGGCTAAATTTTTTATTTAGTTAAAAATGGAGGAATTCCGAGGTCCCAAGCCCGAGAAATGAATTTTTGAGTAAAATTATTTTTCTCAAATTATTAAGGAAAATGGAAATGAAAATTGATTAGAATGTGTTGGTATCGGGACCGTATTTTGGTTCCGGCGCCCGGTACAGGTCTTATATGTGGTTTAAGATATTCTGTGAAGTTTGGTCGAAATCGGACGTCGTTTGACGTGTTTCGGACTTAAAACTCTAAATTTGAAAGTTTATGAAGTTTGAAGAAAACTAGTAATTTTGAGGTTTGATTCATTGTTTTTTATGTTATTTTGGCGATTTGATCGCACGGCTAAGTTCGTAGGATGTTGTTGAGTTAGTGTATATGTTTGGTTAGGAGCCCCGAGGGCTCGGGAGTGTTTTGGGAGGTGTTTCAGAGTGGTTTCGAACTTAGAAAGATTGCAGAAATTCTTCAGTTGTTGCAGACCCAGTTTTTTTTCGCGTTCGCGTCCTTCCTCCTGCGTTCGTGATGCCTTAATTTCTCCTCCTTTGCGTTCGCGTTCAAGCCCTCACGTTCACATAGGGTTATTTGACTGTGAGGACTTAGCCTTCATTTTCCTCATCGCGATCGCACTGATACTTTCGTATTCGCGTAGTTCATAGGGCTCCTTTATCGCGAAAGGTCCACGCGTATGCGTAGACCAAGTCCTGGACCCCCAGCCTTTCCTCTTCGCGTTCGCACTCTTCCCATCATGAACGCGATGGTCTGCCAAGTTTACCATTCGCTAACGCGACCCTCCTTCCGCGAACGCGAAGGGCAATTTCGCCTAGTTATATTTTAATTCCAAAACAGAACAGTGACGGAAATTTTTCATCAAAACACACGAGCTCCTTCTTCTCCAAGGTCCTTAGGCATCCATTGAAGCTTTATTTACCAACACTTCTTGGGTTAGTAAATCTTAACTCGTTTTCATCATTTTCCATCAATATTTGTTGAATTCCTAAGCCTAAAACATGTAATTTAGAGTAAAAAATGGGGGAATTGGGTATAGTTAAAGCTTTTTACCTTTTCTTGATTTAGACCTCGTTTTGGGGTCGAATTTGAAAAAAAATTATATCTTCGGGCTCGTGAGGGAATGAGGGATATGAATTTGGTCTGAACCTCATGTTTTGACCAAGCGGGACCGGGTTCAATTTTTAGAATTTTGGAAAGAAGGCTTGAAAATCTATATTTAGGCAATGGGTTTGATTTGTTTAGCATATATTGATACTATGAAGTCATTATTGTATAGATTTGATTGAGTTGGAGCCGAATTCGAGAGGGAAAACTGTTGTTGTGGATTGATTTGGCCGTGGAAGTTGAGGTAAGTGTTTGGTCTAACCTTAGCTTGAGGGAATAGGAGTGGAGTCTTATTTGCTACTTGCTAATTGTCGAGTACGATGTATAGGCATGGTAACGAATATCTATACATTGGTGTCTAGCATGACCGTGAGTCCTTAGATTGCCAATATCCTGGTTTTGTTATAGCTTCCATACTTAATTGATGATTTCTATATGTTTTAAAGAGTATGTGAAAGGAAATTGTGAGATTTGAACTTCGTGGAGCATTGGCTCGAGTTGAAATACAAATTGTGAAGGTATATGATATATTTAATCTTTGGAGCATTGGCTCAAGTGATAATGTGAACTATGAGATGAAAGTGAAAGAAAGAGAAAGAGTTATTGGTTTACTCCCTTGCCGGAACGTTTTGTTGATTTTCTCCCTTGCCGGGACATGAAAATTTATTGATATTGTTCCCTTGTCGAGATTTAACTTTTTAATTGCATTCCCTTGCCGGGTTTTTTATCATTAATTATTTATTTATTTTCTTGCCCCTTATTTGTGATTGTTGTTTGGGTGAGGAAGAGTGATAAAGCACGAAGGGTGATGCTGTACATTGTATGAAATTTATGGATCAGGTTGCATGCCGCAACAATGCTAAATGATATGGATCGGGTTGCACGCCGCAACAATGATATTTGTGGATCGGGTTGCATGCCGCAACAATGCTAAATGATATGGATCAGGTTACACGCCACAATAGTGTTGCTATATATTGGGATCGGGTTTCACGCCGCAATAATTATTGATACGAGTGTGTTTATTTTGGATACTAGTTTCTTTGTTCGCTTTAAATTCTAAGCTACCCTTAGACTGTTACTCTGGACTTACTGTTAATACTGGTATACGCCCGCAACATGTTTCCCCCCTCCCATCTTTACTTGTTTATTTTTGCTTTACTTTCCGCTGTATATTATATAACTGCACATGTTTAATTGGTAGTCCGGTCCTAGCCTTGTCACTACTTCGCCGAGGTTAGATTAGGCACTTAGCAGCACATGGGGTCCGTTATGCTGATACTACACTTTGTGCTATTTTGCATAGATCCAGGTTTTGGACAGCAGTAGCAGTAACGAGTGAGCTGACCTTCAGTCCAGTGAGACACCGAGGTAGCTTTGCAGGCGTCCACGGGCCCGGCANTTTGTTGATTTTCTCCCTTGCCGGGACATGAAAATTTATTGATATTGTTCCCTTGTCGAGATTTAACTTTTTAATTGCATTCCCTTGCCGGGTTTTTTATCATTAATTATTTATTTATTTTCTTGCCCCTTATTTGTGATTGTTGTTTGGGTGAGGAAGAGTGATAAAGCACGAAGGGTGATGCTGTACATTGTATGATATTTGTGGATCAGGTTGCATGCCGCAACAATGCTAAATGATATGGATCGGGTTGCACGCCGCAACAATGATATTTGTGGATCGGGTTGCATGCCGCAACAATGCTAAATGATATGGATCAGGTTACACGCCACAATAGTGTTGCTATATATTGGGATCGGGTTTCACGCCGCAATAATTATTGATACGAGTGTGTTTATTTTGGATACTAGTTT